TTTGTCGGTTGTGGGGCTTGAACTCTGGGCCTGGGCGCTGTCCCTCAGCTCTTCAGCTCAAGGCGAGCGCTCTACCACTTGAGCTACAGTGCCACTTCCTGGATTGGGGTTTATCTTGCTGCTCTTTATCAAGGAGGTTTAGATGTCTCATTAAATTGTTGGGGTCAGATCTCTCCAACTTGTTGATGTAGGAACTCAGAGCTATAAACTTACCTCTGAGTACTACCTTTGTGGTGTCTCAGAGGAGCTGGTAATTTGTGTGTTCATTTTTCTTGAATATTATGAACATTTGAATTTCCTTTCTAATCTCTTCCATGACCCACTGGTGGTTCAACAGTGTGTTGTTCAGCCTCCATGTGTTACAGGACTTTCTATGGTGGCTTTTGGTATTGAGTTCTAATTTTATTCCCTTGTGGTCTGAGGAAATGCAAGGTATAACTTCAATGTTTCTGAAATTGGACAAGTTTGCTTTGTGACCTAAAATATGGTCTATTTTGGAAAAGGTTCCATGTGCTGCTGAGAAGAATGTGTATTCTGATGCTGCTGGGTGAAATATTTGGTAGATGTCTGTTAAATCTAGTTGATCTATGCAGTTGTTTAGATCTGTGGTTTCTCTGTTGTGTTTTTGCCAAGTTGCTCCATCTAGTGGAGATAGTGATGTGTTAAAGCCCCCCAAATTAATGTCTTTGGAAATTTGTGAGATTTGAGGGAAAGTAGTGTTTCTTGGATAAATTTGGGTTCTCTGTTGTTTGGTGAGTAGATATCCTCCTGAAGGAGAAATCCCTTAATTAATATGTAGTGACTTTCTTTATCTCTTCTCACTAATTTTTTTGAAGTCTATTTTATGTGATATTAAGATTGTGACTGCTGCCTGCTTATGGGGGCCGTTCACTTGTTAGATTTTATTCCAGCCTTTCACTTTCAGAATATGTTTGTTTTTATGGACAGTGTGTGACTCTCAGCAGATAGAAGGATCTTGCTTTTTAATCCAACTAGACAGTCTATGTCGCTTAATTGGAGAGTTAAGTCCATTAATGTTGAGAGTTAGGACTGAGAGGTATTTGGGAGTTCCTGCCATGTTATCTATCTTCTTGGGGGCTGGGGCAACTGGGTTCTTCCTATGGTTCTTGGATTCTCAATTTGCGATTTCTTGGCCTTTATTGTGGTCTTGTTGATTTACTATGTGTAGGACATCTTTAGTATCTTTTGTAGGGCTGATTTGATGGAGATATATTGTTTCAGGTTTTCTTTGCTTTGGAAGGTTTTTATTTGGCCTTCGGTTATGGAGAGTTTAGCTGTGTACAGTATTCTTGGTTGATAGTTGTTTGTTTTTAGGGCATGGCATACATCATTCCAGGCTCTTCTTACTTTAATTGTCTCTGCTGAGAAATCTGAGATGATTCTAATTGGTTTCCCTTTATTGGTGATTGATCTTTTCTCCTTGACAGCTTTAAGGATCTTTTCCTTGGTCTGAATTGATTGTGTGCGGATTATAATGTGATGGTGGAATGTCCTGTTCTGGTCTGGTCTATTTGGGGTTCTAAAATCTTCTTGTATCTGAATAGGCCTATCTTTTTGCATGTTTGGGAAGTTCTCTGCTAGGATCGTGTTAAATAATTTCCTAGACCATTAACTTCTGTCTTTAGGTGCTCGTCTACCCCCATTATCCTCAGATTAGGCCTTCTGATGGTATTTTCCAAATGTTGAATAGATCTGTCATATTTCTTGGATTTGTCTTGGATAGTTACATGTTCTTTCTGTATAATATCTAGGCTGTCTTCAGTCCCAGAGATTCGATCTTCTCCCTGGTCTAACCTACTGTCAAGAATTTCTACTTTGTTTTTTTTGTTTTTGTTTTTTTACTTCATTTCCTTCTAATTGTTTAGCTCTGATGGCTTCAAATTCTTTGTTGGAGCTTTGTTTTAGTTCTTGTGTGAACTTCTTTATTTTCTTAATTTGGTGTTCAATGTTATTTTTTATTTTGGGGGGGGCGGGGGAGGAGGAATCTTGTATCTCCCCTGTGTCTGTAACCAGTCTCTTGATGGCCTCTCTGGTTTGCTTGTGGTGTTTGGTATTCCTGTGGCTTGATTGGTTTCTTAAGTCAGTTTGTTTGAGCAGGGAGAAGGAAGCTCTCCCTTCCTAGGACTTTGTGATCTTCCTCTCAGGCTAGTTCATTGGGAAGGAGATGGTTGTTTCCTCTAGCTTGGAGTTGCTGTGATGAGGCTAGGTTCTGGATAGGGTTGAGGCCTATCATCCATCAGTAGCTTTTCCCTGAGGGGCTAGCTCCAGAGGCACTCACAGAGTCCAGCCTGGAGCCATTCTCGGGATTTATATTTATTGAGTTTCAATTGTTTTTCTTTTACCCCTCCTGCTGCCTAGGCTGCAGTGGGGAGGGGCAGCCTCTGGGTCTGTTTACCCAGTGAAGAAACTCACTCCTCTGGGGTCAGATATACCTCTGCCTGGGAAGGGAAACTTTCCCTGGGTGGAGCTAGGCCTGGCAGGTCAGGTCAGGTTACTGTGACCTGTGAAATGGCTCCTATTTGTTTACTTCCAAGGCCTGAGTTGGAGCTAGGTGCTCAGGCAGGGCCTTTGTCAGTATCAATGATGGAGCTCTTTTCCAGTGGTGGAGCCAATGATGAGAATTTTTCATGTTCTTACTGACTAGTAATGCTTCATCTTTTGTAATATATATTAGCATAACTTAAAAGGAGTTATTCTGGGTTTGTTCCTATGCAGATTTAAAAGCTCCTCACAAGACAGGCTCCAGTGGCTCATGCCTGTAATTCTAGCTACTCAGGAGGCTGAGACCTGAGGATTGCAGTTCAAAGCCAGTCAGGATGAAAGTCTCTGAGACTCTTATCTCCAGTAAACCACTAGAAAACTGGAAGTGGCACTGTGGCTCAAGCAGTAGGACACTGCCTTGAGCTGAAGAGCACAGGGAGCTCGTCTAAGACCAGAGTTCAAGCCCTAAGACCAACAAAAAGATAAAAGAAACTCCTCATTACACAGATATTTGATTATTTAATATATATTGTATTCACACAAAAAACTAAAATCTATGTATGGCAATTTCATATTTTAATGCTTTTATTTTATTATAACAAATATAAGAAAACTCAAATGATTTATTGTATATTTCCAAATCATGTGGAACATCTCTAGCAAAAGTAATAGCAGAAATGACAACAAACAGATGGATTCACTGAAAAATTCTACCAGACCATTAGAGAAGAACTAGCATAGCATTCCTTATGCTATTTCACATAATAAAGGAGAAAATACTTCCAAAAACTCATTCCAGGATGCCAGTATTGATTGATAACCAAACCAGTTTACATAAGTCAGGCAAATAGTACATTTCCTTTTAAACAATATAACCCATTCCCTTGCAGTCTTCCAGTTTTTCCCTCACATCCCACCCACAAGTTGTAGAGTTCATTTTCAATACACTGTCTAATGAGTACCACCACTGTATTTGGTCATTTTGTCCCTCAATTTCTGTGCCTCCCCTTACACTCCCAAAGACTTATAGACAAACTAACAAGACAAAAAGAAAACAAAACAGCTTTTCTTTCTAGGCTCCTTTGATCATGTTCTTTATTCTATCTAGTTGGCTACTTATGGGTAATAGGTTATGTAATACATCATTAAATTTCTGAGTTCTCATTTCTAGCCCATGTAATTATTTCTACCTTAATTTGAGATTGATATACTACAAACAGAATTATATTTTACTATAAAGAAACTATTGCAGTCACTATAATTCAAGGTAAATTTTTAAAATATAAGAATGGATCAAATTAGGAGAATAAACTTATGTTTTACCACCAAAAAAATCATACCATGGCTACAGAACTACATTTGTAATTATGGTGTTGGTAAGATCTAAAGACTCTTGCCTGGGTTGAATTTTCTCTCTTTGTCTCATCATTGTTCTCAATAAATCTGGGTAAAAGCTGGTAAGACTGTAGAGTGTAAATCATTTCATTATAAAGCACAGTGTGTGGACACACTGTGCTTTATAATGAAGCTTCTGCAACTATTTGAATCTGGTAATTCCTGCTGAATAAGGAAAAATGGGTAATTGATAATTAGCTGTAATAAGAACAGAGTACATAATAAAAGAAACTGTCTAGAAGAAGGGATGCATACCAGATTCAGCCTCTCGATAAATACTGTGGCTGTTTAGATGGGCAACTAGTATCAGAGAACTCCAGAAACCAACCTGGAGAAAGGCACAAAAATCACACACCAAAATCATAAGCCATATTTGGTAGCTGAAGAGGCAGAGTCAGCAAAGAGCTACAGCATTGCCAATAAGCCGTCCAAACGTATTTGGACTTAGGAGAGTCTTGCTTGTTGTATTTGCATAAAACTGGGTCAAACTCAATTAGTGTATATGCTCACATTGCTTGTTTATCTAAAAGAACTAAGATACCTAAGATACCATCTCAAGTCTACAAAGGATTTTAAAAAGAAGAACATTCTGTAAGGTTAATCTACACACACACACACACACACAATAGATTTGAGGCCTACATTCATCTTACATCATCTGAGATTAATTTCTTCCTCCACAACTTCTTCATGGCATTTTTCACTTCTGCATTCCTCAAGGTGTAAATCAGAGGATTGAGCAATGGTGTTCCAAGAGAATAAAACACAGCTATCAATTTATCCATAGGGAATGTGGTTGCAGGACGTGTATATATAAATATGCAAGGTCCAAAAAATAAGATAACCACAATGATGTGGGAGATACAGGTAGAGAGGGCTTTTTTCCTGCTTTCAGCACTGTGGTTCCTCAGGGAATGCAGGATGATCGCATAGGAAATCATCAGCATGACAAAACTCACTATGCAAATAGCCCCACTATTGGACACCAGAAGGAGGTTGATCACATAAGTATCTGAGCAGGCAAGGCTTAACAAGGGCTCCAAGTCACAGAAATAGTGATCAATCACATTGGGACCACAGAAAGGCAAACTCAGGGCCAGGAAAATCTGAGTTAGAGAATGCACACAGGATCCCACCCAGGCCACAGCCACCAAAATACTACAGACTCTGTGGCTCATGATGGCTGTGTAGTGCAGGGGCTTACAGATGGCCACATAGCGGTCAGCAGCCATGAGGATAAGGATGAAGATCTCCAGGCAGCCAAAGAAATGGAATGAAAAGACTTGGATTATGCATTCACTGAAAGAAATAGCGGCCTTTTTCAAAAGGCTATCCACAATCATTCTAGGAGCTATGGAAGTAGAGAAGCAGGTATCAGACAATGATAAATAGAAAAGGAAGAAGTACATTGGACTCCCAAGTGCCTGGCTGCTCTTGATGGTCGTAATGATCAGCAAATTTCCCAGCAATGTCCCCAAATAGGACATGAAGACAGCAACAAACACTATTTTCTTCCTAAGTGGATCCTGTGTCAACCCCAGCAGAATGAACTCAGTCACATTATTATTTAGTTGCATCTTTAGATGAAGAGATTGGACAAGTGTGAAACACAGTATCTGCCAAATAATAAAAATAATAGTAGTAGTAGTAGTAGTAATGCAATTAACTATGAAATATTATGAAATATGATGGCTATGAAATATTATGGGATAGTTTGAACAAAATTAAATAATCCTCATCATGTCCATTCTGTCAAGTTTCTTAATAAATCTCTTCACCCCTTGTTGCTCAAATTTAGTGACTAATTCACTATGTTATTATGAGTCCCAAATATACTTCAGAATATGATGCTTTCCAATACGATCCTTCAAAGTCAAACTTTTCTTAGCTTTCTCATGTTCGGCTTAATTTTGTCAATCAAATAAATGGAAAATAAAAGGCGTGTATGTTTTTTTCCTAGGACTGGGGCTTGAACTCAGGGTGTTAGGTGGGTACTCTCTCTGAGCTTTTGTGCTCATGGCTAGCACTCTACCACGTGAGCCACAGCTCTACTTCAAGTGGTTATTTCCAGTGATGGTTAATTGGAGATTATGATACTCTCACAGATTTTCCTGCCAGTGTTGATTTTGAACCACAATCCTCAGATACCAGCCCCCTGAGTAGCTAGGATTACAGGTGTAATCCTAGGGACCATGTTTTACTTCTCTGACACTTATTAAAACTTATGCTTAAAAAAGCCATATCAGGGGGGCTGGGAAGGTGGCTCAGTGGTAGAGTGCTTGCCTTGCATGCATGAGGCCCTGGGTTCCATTCCTCAGCACCACATAAGCAAAAAGAAAAAAGTCGGAAGTGGCACTGTGGCTCAAGTGGTAGAGCGCTAGCCTTGAGCTGAAGAGCTGAGGGACAGTGCCCAGGCCCAGAGCTCAGGCCCCACGACCGGACCAAAAAAAAAAAAGCCATATCAGTCAAATCTGGTCACCAGTGGCTCACGCCTGTCACCCTAGATACTCAGGAGGTTGAGATACAAGGATCATGGTTCAAAACAGCATCAGCAGAAAAGTCTGTTAAACTCTTATTTTCAATAAACTACTCAGAAAAAGCCTGAAATAGTACTGGACCAAAATGCTAGCCTTGAGCACAAAAAAGCTCTGGGACAGTGCCCAGGCCCTGAGTTCAAGCTCCAGAATGAGCAAAAATAATAAATAAAAATAAAATCACAGAAAGAATGAAAGAGTGATATTGTCCAAAAAGAAATGCACTTATTACAAGACTTATGAAATGGTTACTCCTCTATACATCACCCTTATAATACCAATAAAAATTTAATTAACAAGGCACTCAATATTTAGAATATATCTGACTACTTTGTAATTTCATGTTATAAATCTAAAGTTGCACACAAGTTTATAGAAACAGAGTTGTATAAAATTTCTCTAAGATATTCAATTTTGAAAAAAAAATTAAAAACTATATAATCTCCAAAAAATTGCTTCTACCTTAAAGCATCATGAAGATATTTTGTACTTAAAATCAACAAAGGAATGGAAACAATAGGTAATGATATTTTAATATCACCATTTCTAATTTCTTTTTTTTATTTTACAAGAAGCACTCTTTACACTAGTTAACATCCCTTGATTTCATTTAAGCTAAATGACAGTGAGGCTATTGCAACTAAATTAATTGTTCATGTTTCCATATACAGGTGTGTTTTTTTCATGACTTAGAACTGGAGTAGTTTGGCAGGAAGGCATCAAGCAGGTGACACTAGACCAAACCACAGTAGTAATCTCTGGAAGAGTTTTTTTTAATCTGAGATCCAGAAACACTCATGATTTAGGGCAGGGTAGAAATTCAGAAAAGGTATGAGATGTGGTTTTAGACAAGAGGAACAGCAAACAATTATTATTTTTTCTACAGTTCTACTACAATTTTTTCATCATTTGTTACTGTCTCAAAGAGTCAATGATAACTCAATTCTTAGTTACTTTTTTAATATAACTTTTTCTATCAAATTCTACCAATTTTTTTTATCATCAGGTGTTTTATTTTCAAGAGCAAAACTTTTCTCCAGCTCCTTCTTATGAAGATGACACTAGAAACCACATAAATGCAAGTAAATATGCAAATTAAAGTACAATTTATTTTAGTGCAGTCTGGAAACCTTATTTAGCTCATTTTGTTTTTCCCAATACCATTCATATCTTCAGGACATTGTGTTGAAATTTGCAAACTGGTCGATATATAGGATAAATAGATAAAATAGACACAAAATTCTTATATGCATTTCCTCATTCTTGGTAAATTTTGTGCTCAGTCAAATTGAAAAATCCTTTATTTTCCTCACAATCAAAAGAACTCCTAGGAAAATACGTTTTCTAAACATTTGCTTTAGACACAGTAATATTTGACAAGGGTCTTAAATTCTAAGGAATCTGAGTTGATAATTCAATTAAAACAATCTCATTCTTACCTTTTTTTTGTTTGAAGAAGAGACCCACCATAAAATATTTATATAAGAAAGATATTATAGGCCTGAAGTGACATAATAATGTAGAGGAACTTTTCATCTCCAATAGTCTGTAATTTAGTCATTCTTTTGATTGTAATCATATCTGACTACCAATAAAAAGAAAAGGTCAGTTTACCTTTGCATATGGACAGATTTTTATAAATATATATTATTTAATTAACCTAGCTAAATTGGTATTTCTTGAAACAAACTTTTAATCAACAGTTTCATCCTCCTTGAAATTCCATTTCTAGCCACTTCCAATCACTTTCAATCATCCTGGAAGTTCAAGACATCAACTGCAGAGGGTCTCTTCCTCCAAAAACCCTTACATGAACGTCTTGTAATAAGGAAAATAACTCTTCAGTTCCTTAAGAACTTCCCTCATGTCTTTTGTTAAATTCTTGTGTACAATTGCTTATATGCAATTATGAGTACGCTTTTTTTTAGCTCATTTCGTGGAAAAGACTATTTTAAATCTCTAAATTCTCACTATATAATTTTCCACTTACTACATCCAATATATTTTATATTTAGGATTTTTAAGTTGAATATTCTCTCTTCCATAAAAAATTTATATAGCTAATTAACTCGTTTTCTAATTAAAACATATTCACATTAATAATTTACTGTAACTTTCTCTGTGTTAGTATGACAGACAAACAAGTATGATTCTCATTACAAACAAAAGATTTGAAAGTTAAATAACTTAGGGACTCAGCATCACAACCTGGAGTAGATTTGCTCTGCATAGTGTGACCCTGTCATGAAAATCTGGAGCCAAATAATCACCTTACAAAATTGTTGCTTTACAGGGACCCATGACTATTAAGAACTGTAAGACATCCTTGACATTTTTCATATCCTCCAGCTACTGGCTTCCTGGATGTCTATGAGTGTAACATTTCTGCATTTTTCCCGGGTTGCAGCAGCTTTCATCAGGCTGTCAAAAGGTTACAGAGATCTAAATGTAAAACAATACTTAATATAAAATATCATTCAATAACTATTGAACTTCAAATAAGATGAAGCAATTTTAGGATGGACATCATGGTCCAAACAATGGACACTGTGGCACAAAGATAGCACTTTGGTATTGAAGGTCAGAGAGAAGAGATGGAATGAAAGTAGCATGGGAGGTCATGATTAGGGGAGAATGGAACAGCCTGTCAGATCCCAGTGAGAAGAACCACAGCCCACATGTCACTAATTCAGTGACATAAGACATATCTTTGAGAAAAATCTCTGCACTCACTTTACTTCTATGCAGAAAATTGTCATTTCTCCGTGGAAAGGAAAACAGACTGTGATATCATCCACTTTCCTTAAGCTCCTCTATCTGTAACCCCAGGACTCTTAATATCTAGTCAAGAAATATCTTGGGAAACAGACTAGTCTGCGAAATGGAGGTCTCCATTGGATATTATTTCCTAAGCCCTGAGTACCTGGTTACCTTGACTGTCCTGAAGTTAATATATAATAATTCATCTACTTACACACAAAAAAACAGAAACATTATGGAAGGGTAAAGGTAGATACAGTGAATTATTTATCTTTTCCATACATTTATTGTCAGATGAGAGAATAATATTGTTGCAAGAAATGGAAATCTATTAAAAAATTACATTGGATTTACCTGAAATCATGAAACTCTGGGCTCAAGAAGGCAGAAATTATCTGTGACTTACCATGTGTATCCCTTTTGAATGCAACCTTTCCATGCAATACTGGGAGGAATGTTTTTTTTTTTTGTATTCCAGAGGGAATTAGTCACACCTCATGATGTAAAATATTAATATGCTAAAAAATAATATTCCCTAAAGTTCCCCTTATTTAGGGAATGAGAAATACCCTAGAGGTTTTATGGAAGTTAACTTTTGGTGCTGTCCATCTAGCCTGTAAGAATAACAAGATAATGATTCATATACCGAGGATTGCATAGAAACATAAGTGAGGAAGTATTTGGTACCTCAGAAAAAGGTACCAGAAAAAAATATAAATGCATGATGGAGAGGGTGATGGAAAGCAGGAATAAATAATTTCATTGGTGATAGAAAAAAAATGGATCATCAAGCAATAATTCTACTTTCACAGTAGTGGAAGTGTCTTAAATTTGCATTCACTCCTTGTGTTAGGAAGTAGGCTTTTCAAGTTCTTGTAATATACTTGTGAGCTCCAGTCAGGAAAGATAGTGTGCTATCCCAGAAGGGTAAACTTTGCTGTCTGGGTTACTGAAAGCAAATTTCCATGACTCTTAGATTTGCAAATAATAAGTGATGTTAGGTATAATATGAAAACCAAGTTCACTTATTTCTCTTACTCAAGTTAGTTAGAAAAATGAGAACCTTTTAATATGGTTCTATGTATTTCTCATATCAATTTCATTACCAATATATAATATAAGAATAGGAATAATGCCATGCATTATCATGAAAACTGGTTGTTCTATAAACATCCACTATACTGATAAAGCCACATAAAATGATTTCAAATACTTTTATATCTGTATATGCATTCAGAAGATTATTAGAATTGATTAGGTAAAAAGTGAAAAATATTTAATTT